AGGGGAAGGACAGTTATGAGACGATCTCAGGAAAAGCAAGGTAGACAAGAGCAAGGTTCGTTATGCACATTAAAGCACGTGTCTTTTCCATTAAAATTCTCTGGTAATTTACAGTCTTCCTTCCTGGTACTTACAAATGAAGATCTCCATTAAAACTGTAAATGTCTCTTACAATAAAGTAACTTCTAGTTTCAGACATTCTCCTATATCTGCTGTTTCTTAAAAATAATCAGTTCAAAAATCCTTATGAGAAAGAGGCATGGTTTGAGGTGACACATTCAGCCACGCTTCAGCTGTGAAAGATACAAGGAAAATACCTTGATTTGAATGAAGCTTATCTTGATCTATAAAAGTCAGTAAGATCCTTGAGGAAAGTTCCTGAGTTAAGGGATTCGCAAAAGATTTATTTAGCCAAAAAAAAAAAAAAAAAAAAAAAGCATTTACATACACTTGTAAAGGACTAAGAAAGAAATTCTGAAAGAGTGAAAGGAAAACAGAAGGACCCTTAGGGAGAATAAGCCTCTTATTTCCTATTTGTATTTGCCCTTGAACTAACCTATGCCATCCGTCCCTCTATAAAATACACTGAATGTACTCCCGCTAGTTGACTGGGCTTTCTTCAAGTGTTTGGCAAGTATTCTTTTATTGCCTAAATGCAGAAAAAATTAAATATTTTAATGACATTTTAAAATTATGTCTATTTTATAAATGTTAATGAAATACTTTGGAAATACTGTAAAGCAACATTTGCTAAAAGTAATTCCTTGATATAAAGGGTAGCAATAACATCATTGGATAACTAGGGGATTACATGCTAAGAGTGAAAAAAGTGATTAAAATGTCTCAGAATTTAAGCAATAGTAAAGTTGTATAATGTTTTCAATTAAGTATATACAATTAAACATATTCTTTTTTTTAATGTTTTATTTATTTCTAGGAGAGAGAGAGAGAGAGAGAGAGAGAGAGAGAGGGGAGACAGCGTGAGCAGGGGAGGGTTAGAGAGAGAAGGAGTCACAGACTGAAGCAGGCTCCAGGCTCTGAGCTGGCAGTCAGCACAGAGCCCGACGCGGGGCTCGAACCCACGAACCGCGAGATCGTGACCTAAGCGAAAGTCGAACGCTTAACCGACTAAGCCCCCCAGGCGCCCCTAAACATATTCTTTTAATAAAGATTTTTGTAGAAAGATCAAAGTATACTTTCTTTTCCCTGCATTCAAATTTTTACTTGTTAGTTAATAACAAATTAATTCCTCTTATAAGAGAGTTTAAAAAAATTTTTTTAATGTTTTATTTATTTCTAAGAGAGAGACAGCATGAGCAGGGGAGGGTCAGAGAGAGAGGGAGATACAGACTCTGGAACAGGCTCCAGGCTCTGAGCTGGCAGTCAGCACAAAGCCCGACGCGGGGCTCGAACCCGCGAACCGCGAGATCATGACCTAAGCGAAAGTCGGACGCTTAACCGACTAAGCCACCCAGGCGCCCCTAAAACTTTTTTTTTTAAATGATACATTATCTGGGTGAAAAAAACCCTCTACTGAGATACACTTAAAGACCTAGATGGATGGAGAGATTCAGTACTTTTCAGGTTAGGAAAACACAGTATTTACCATGCAAAATGCTATTTTTTAGTGCGACAAATAATTATAATCCTTCAGCACTGCAAGTAGACTAATCAGTGGAACTGATCAGTGAACTAATCAGTGAAAACTCAGGAAATAATTTGAAGTGAAATATTCAATATATGAGCAATTAATTTCCTCAAATTAGTGGAGAAAATAGTTAATATGTTATACTGATGAGCCAGCTGGTTAACTTTTTAAAAGTTAATTCTCTACACAAGAAACCGAGTCTGGATTATTACAGTTAAATTTTTTTAGTGGCTGTCCTCATTATTAGTGAGAGATAGTAGGAACTGCTGTTGAAAATGAAAGCTGCTACGCCTCTGGTGGAAGAGAATTCAGCAAAACACCTGCAAGACCTTAAAATTCTCTGTTACTAGCACATCTTTTTCGACATCTAGGAAGCTAGTATTTGGAGCATTATTTCCCCCCCGTAGAACAAGGAGAAAACCTCTGGCACAGTCTTAGGCACATAGTTAGAAAATGCACGCATATTTGTACAGATAATAACAGAAGATTTTACTCTCTGTGCTCTTTAAAATGTATCCTCCGCAGTGTTACAGTTTCGTCGTTTAATGAGGACGGGGTACGAAACAGGTTAAATGAGAACGAGGGGAAACAGCCCGGAGCTCGAGGACTGTCGCTCCGAGAACAAAGGCGGCGGCCCGGCTTGCGCCCCTCCTCCAACCCAGGCGGACTTCCCGCCACTGCTCTTCCGGTTTTCACTCTGGTCCGCAGAAGCTTCCTATAAAAAGGAGCCGCGGGGGCTGTGTGCACCTTTCGACTCTCGGACTCCCGAGAAGATGTCCGGCCGCGGCAAGGGCGGGAAGGGCCTGGGCAAGGGCGGCGCCAAGCGCCACCGCAAGGTGCTGCGCGACAACATCCAGGGCATCACGAAGCCCGCCATCCGGCGGCTGGCCCGGCGCGGCGGCGTCAAGCGCATCTCCGGCCTCATCTACGAGGAGACGCGCGGGGTGCTCAAGGTGTTCCTGGAGAACGTGATCCGGGACGCCGTCACCTACACGGAGCACGCCAAGCGCAAGACGGTCACGGCCATGGACGTGGTCTACGCGCTCAAGCGCCAGGGCCGCACCCTCTACGGCTTCGGGGGCTAAAGTTTTGACTCCTGTCACTTCGCCCGAAAAAAGGCCCTTTTTAGGGCCCTCAAGTTTTCATTAAAAGGGCTTTAGCGCTGGTCTACAATAAGGTCTCCGTGGAGCCGTTCTTAAATGCAGCTTAGCGGTTACTTCTGCCCGGGGACTTGAACGAGTGGAGACCCAACAGGACCATAGACTGTCCAACCGCTGTTCACTGTGCGGTGGGGTTGTGCGGAGTGTGGTTCGTTTTGGATCGTTAGTCTAGTCCAAAGTTAGTAAATCCGGAGGCTTTTGGCCTTTAGGGTTAGTTAGGCCCACACTAGCCTCCCACCGACCGTGCCAGAGAGCTAAGATTTCTCCTCAATAGGAAACTTGAGAAAATGTATCTGCCCTCTTGCACTGTAGGACCTAAAATACGCTCAGGTTTGGTAGCGTCAGTAAGTACATTCGTTTGTCTGCCGGAAATTTTAATTGCTGCGTTTCCCCCCGGGACAAACAGCCGTGGGCATTGTACACAGCCCTTGGCCTTCTCTGGGTGCTTATCTGGGAGTGTTTCTGCTCGGCAGTCAGGTCTGTGCATATTCAACTTGACAAGAAATGAGCAACCTGCTTTCCACGGTTGTAGTTTTAGCCGACACTCCGTACCCCAGGGGTCCTCAGTACTCACAGCTCCTGGGACGCGCCGCCTGCCACGTCTTGTTAATGGCAGACTAAATTTTTCTGCCAGGCCGCATTGGCTCAATTATGTGTCACGTATTTAAATTGCATTTCTCTGATAACAAAGTGCTTAAAATTTCTTTGGGAGATTTATGGCTATTTTGGAGTCGCATCTAATTATGTTGGGTTTATATTTTTATGAGTTTTTGCAAATGATGCCTGTTCATACAGGAGTCATTTCCCTCTCAGTTCCCCCAAAGAACTGCAGGCTGCTCATCTCATTATTGGGCTCGGAGAAGGAAGCTTTTCTGAAATTACTGATAACTGATCTTCCTAAAATTTGCAAAACATTATAAAAAACAAAAGATAGAGTGAACGAGAAGAAATCCTGCTTATAATAGTTCGTGTCAATTTGTGCTACTTTTTCCATGGACTCTCTACCATAATCTTGACAGGTTTTATTATTCTCATTTTAAAATGGCAAAATACAGGCACTGGCAGCCAAGTCAAATAACCAAGTCACAGATCTATTCTATAACCCGAACCTGTACTATTTGTAACCATTCTTCTCTGGGTAGCGCCGCTGGAGAAGCCGTCAGGAAGAGAATTTGCGGAATTGTATCAGGACAGGGACAGCCTGTGACTATTCCAATCTGATCCAATTATGCCTATCTCTTCTACAGTATATCTGATTGTGGGCCTAAGAAAGTCACTTTTATCATTTCTATTCACATGGATTTCATTTTGTCTCTGGAGAGCACACGATTCACAAGTCCACATCAATGCTCTTGTACAAATAGGCAAACAGGTGCACAGACTTTAATTTGTTCAAATCATTAGAGGCACAAGATTCCAATGGTTACTTATCTGCCCTTGTCTCCATTATACCACCGGTCACTTGCCTCTGCGGCCATATGTATGGGAACTAGTAAGCTAGCACTCTTTCGAGGCCCAGTACTCCATTTCTTTACTCAAGAGAAAAGGTGTGCTTATCTTCACTCTGCAGACTTCTCCCTCATGGTGGTCTGGCACCTCCCGGTCCCAGATGGGCGGGAGAGGCCAGCTTTTTCTAAGTTGGATGCCAAGTATTCTTCTAGCAATTTTAATCCCCCTTCTACCATAGGCATCTTTTTAATCCTATCGTGCCGCCTACGACAGGTGAATACTGCGGAGGTGAAGGACTGGCTTTGGAAGACAAGTGGGCACTAAATTTACTAAGAAAAGCAGGTTAGAACTCTAGAACTCCCAACGGAGAAAGGTCACAATAGGCTCTCAGGATTTAGACAGGAAAGCATTTTTCCACACAACCAAAGGACACACATTTGCGCCAGCCAGGGTCATTTTTCAGCTCAAACACACGTATAGAGTTGTGTTAACATCCCGTTAAGGGGCATACTAGAATGTTTACTACAAACATGTAAGCGGCAACTCCCAGCACATCCGGTTTCCTCCCAGCCAGAGGCAGTTACGGGCACAGCATTACTCAGGGCATTGGAATCCTCACGGTTGCCTCAGAGTAACCGCCTGAACTTGAACCTAGAATGTAAGCAAACATGTATTTGCAGCTCTAACATTGACAACGTAGTGGCTCTTAAAAGAGCCTTTGGGTTAAGTTTAAATACGCTTACTTGGCAGGTTCACTTGGCGCTGGTGTACTTGGTGACGGCCTTGGTGCCCTCGGACACGGCGTGCTTGGCCAGCTCGCCGGGCAGCAGCAGGCGCACGGCCGTCTGGATCTCCCGGGACGTGATGGTCGAGCGCTTGTTGTAATGCGCCAGGCGCGACGCCTCGCCCGCGATGCGCTCGAAGATGTCGTTGACGAACGAGTTCATGATGCCCATGGCCTTGGACGAGATGCCCGTGTCGGGGTGCACCTGCTTCAGCACCTTGTACACGTACACCGAGTAGCTCTCCTTGCGGCTGCGCTTGCGCTTCTTGCCGTCCTTCTTCTGCGCCTTGGTCACCGCCTTCTTGGAGCCCTTCTTCGGGGCGGGGGCGGACTTGGCGGGCTCGGGCATGGTCGGGAGGACACCGGGCGCGCTGGAGACAGACAGCGGAAGACAAATAGCAGCCGCAAAGCGCGGCTTGCCCTTTTTATATAGAAGCCCTTATGCAAATAAGGTGTAAGTTACAGCCCTAGGTCTCATTGGTGACTATTCAAATGACATCAATAATCAGCTCTGCCCAATCACGACGCAAGGATCGCAAAGCTGCATTCTCATTGGATAAACTAAAGCCACAACCCTAACCAATGCCAAGTCTCTTTTTTCGCGCCCAATAAGGGTTATAAAAAGTGCTGGTCTCGTACCCGTTTCACTAGTTACGCTTAGAGAACCCAGTTTCGTGATGTCGGGACGCGGGAAGCAGGGCGGCAAGGCGCGCGCCAAGGCCAAGACGCGCTCGTCGCGGGCCGGGCTGCAGTTCCCGGTGGGCCGCGTGCACCGCCTGCTGCGCAAGGGCAACTACGCCGAGCGGGTCGGGGCCGGCGCGCCCGTGTACCTGGCGGCCGTGCTCGAGTACCTGACGGCCGAGATCCTGGAGCTGGCGGGCAACGCGGCGCGCGACAACAAGAAGACGCGCATCATCCCGCGCCACCTGCAGCTGGCCATCCGCAACGACGAGGAGCTCAACAAGCTGCTGGGCCGCGTCACCATCGCGCAGGGCGGCGTCCTGCCCAACATCCAGGCCGTGCTGCTGCCCAAGAAGACCGAGAGCCACCACAAGGCCAAGTGAGGAGTAAGTTTAGGGACGCTGCCAAACAAAGGCTCTTTTCAGAGCCACTTACACTACACGGAGAAAGCTGCTACACAATCTGCTCTATTCTCAGGTTTTGGTGACAATCCAGAAAACTTGATCGTGGGAGACTTAGGATCATATTGTACTAGTAATACTATATGTAGTCTGATCTACAGGAAGGACAACTTCGAGATGGGCAGGGGGCAGCGGGTTCGGGACAGGCTTGTCCAGCAATTTAATGGAGTCCAGCAAATTCCTGAACCCATTTAAATACATTATCCGTTACTAGTTTTAGGCAGCCAAAAGTATGGAATACAGTGACTATTCACGAATAAATTAGCTATTTGAGTACAGTAGAAGAGTTCTGGGAAAGGACAGCCTGATTCTTAAGTGATCTAACTAAATTTTCAGCAGGTGATGGAATTCTTAGCAGTCATTACCCTTTAGGATTTCATCCCAAAGGGAGTTAGTCTGATTCACAGATTAAAAGTTGGCAGGATTTACTGAATCCCATATTGTAAGTCCTTGCTCCTGTTTCTTCGGAACGCATGTGTTCATTTAATTCACTCTTCTAGCAGCTCAGGACCCAACAGCGGATGCAACCTAGAAAATCCGCCTTCATGGAAGTTACTCAGGGAAGAGAGACAGAACTACAGAAACATACAACAGGTTAGGTGATAAATATCTTCGGCAGAAAATAGAGCAGCTATACAGCATAATGGGGGCTCTTATTTTCAATAAAGGGTAAATAGATAACTTAAAAGGTGTTACCTGATCAGAGGCCTACACGGATCTAAAAAAGATGAGCCAGGTAGATATTAGGGGAAGGGAGGGGACTGAAAATTCAGATGCCTTAAGACAAAATGTGTGTGGCATTAATTGGGAACAGCCAGCAGGCCCAGCAAACTAGGGTATGAAAGCAGGGACTGGGTCTGCCTAATGTAGGACTTTGTAGAGTGTAAATTAATGTGGGTGAGCAATCCACAGCAATAGCCATCCTGATCTCTGAGAGAATAAATTTGATAACACAAATCAGCTATATGTCAAAATCTGTGGACTCCAACCCACTTTTTAAAAAAAGATACTAGAGGGGCGCCTGGGTGGCTTAGTCGGTTAAGCGTCCGACTTTCGCTTAGGTCATGATCTCGCGGTTCGTGGGTTCGGGCCCCGCGTCGGGCTCTGTGCTGACTGCCAGCTCAGAGCCTGGAGCCTGTTTCGGTCTGTGACTCCCTCTCTCTCTGACCCTCCCCTGCTCACACTGTCTCTCTCTCTGTCTCTCCTAGAAATAAATAAAAACATTAATAAATAAATAAATAAATAAATTTTAAAAAAGATACTAGAAAAGTAGAATTAACAGTCATGTGATTCATAAACAGCGATGGAAGAGCACAGTTTATAATTCAATATACACAGATTTTTTTGCTACTGAATGGAAGAAACTTTGTCGAAATTTCTTCTAGCCAGGCTAAGAATTAAATTGACGTGAGACAGATTACGAAGAGGACAGTAAAAGTTTGGTTATGTGCATGGGGAGGCCCATGTCAGTAATGACACTGACACTTGAACAAACTGCAAGACTGGCAGTTTTCACACAGTTTAGACAGACGACCAAAAAAAAAAAAAAAAAAAAAAGTGAAGATTTGACAGGATAAAGAAAACAGGTGTTTGGGAATCCTAATTAGTAAGGAATTCTAAGCGAAAGTTGGGCTGAGGTAGTAGATTAGTGAAAGACAGAACAAGACTTGTTACTCCAGATTTACTTTCTCTGGTGATAACTGGTCTTTTACTTCTTAGTCCTGGGAGGGGACCTTTCATACGGGAGATGTTTTCTGCTTCCAGGGGGACAGGACACTGTGATGTCCTCGCACCTGCTGTTTCCCAAGAAGCTTCAATTCAAAATAATCAATACGCCATTGAGATCCGTTTTTCTTCCTTTCTTCCTGGCTTCTCCTTTCCCTCCCATTGCCTCCCACTGGCCAAAACTACCCAGAACCCAGCTGGCAAAGGAGTCAAGAAATATAATCTATACAGTCTTCTAGCCTTCAGGATACAAGGAAAAGCACGATGTGGGGCCAGAGTGACAACAGACACACACTCATAAAGCAAAGGGTTCACCATGTATGACTTTCTCTACCTCCACGATTTCTTTTCTGCTTTGTTATTTCTTTCTCAGATACTCTAATCTCAAGGGATTGTTTACTGCTTCTAAAATACGTGATGGTTCTTCCTGCCTCGGGACCTTTGCACATAACTGTTTTCAAGGCCCAGAGTGTTTGTCTAGATGGTCCCTTTTTGCATGACCTCCTATTATCTTGTATTATTTTATTTCATTTTTCATAAAAATGCACCTCTTTGGTGAGGTATTCCTTGAATCCTAATCCACATTATGCCTTCTGACAGCCATTCACTGTTACCAGACCAGATTCTTAAACTCCTTGTCAACTACCAAACACATGTCTTATTTGTATTTGTGTTTGTGTCTGTAAACTCCACTAGCATGTAAGCTTAGAGAGGTCAGTATGGTAACTCGTGACCCACCAGAAAAAGGACACTGAGACTGAATACTTTGCAGATTGCTTCGCTGGCCCGATGCAACGTGGGGAGCAAGGTGTTAAGGAGCCACATGGGACAGAGCAGCGCCCTGGGGCCAGTCCAGGGGCCAATCTCCCCCCCCCCCGCCCCCGCCTCCACCCCAAAGGGAAATGGGAGGAAAGGGAATCTGGAGACAAATGGAGCTCCTTCCTCTGTCTAATCTGCTTTTACTTCCCATTGGCCAAACCCAGCCAGAGGCCAGGGGGCAGGGCCTGACTTCATGCAGAGGTCAGCCTCCGGCCAGTGGAGGTGAAAGGAGAGCGTTTATCTGAACTGGTCAGAGGAACTATCTGGCCCAGCGCGCCCCTTTGTTCTCCAGCACTCACTCTTATCCTTTCCCACATGAAAAATCTGTGTTTCCAACACGGGCCGTAGGAACTGGCAGCCAGCTCGCCGGAGAATTCGTTTCCCCAGAGTCCCACCTTAAACTTAACATGTTACCACACAATGCAAAGGTACGCCGGACCCTGCTTGTGATCAGGAGGCTTAAATTGGCCTTCTTCCTTCCTTCTAAAAACTCATTCCTTATCACCCTGACCTCTGTCAGCACCTTAGGCACATTCTTACCTGGGGGTAAAATGTTTGCCTTTATTCCCGTGGGATCCATGTCCTTGGTAGTCTTCTCGTTTTTTTAACGGCTCCGCCACAATGTTTTAACGCCCAGGGCTGGTGGCAAACTGCTTACGAAGCTGCTCTCAGTTCCAGTAGTATCTTGTCAGTCCCCGTTGGATGGCAGAAACCCAATTATTTCCTGGAAATTGGGATGAATCATCCCAGCAAGAAGAGGAAACTTTTCTCTGCCTATTGGTTCAGTGGCATGAAGAGACTGAAATGTGTGGAGACCCTTCTGAGCCTTTAAATTAATTGAAATTGATTAATCAATGAATTTGAAAACTGACAATGCTCCCTCGTGGAAACATTTCTCTATTGGGCAGGAAGAACTTCAGTCCCTTGGAGCTCAAGTTCACAGGGGAGGATACAAAATTCTTCTAATGGATTACTGAGTGTAATCATGAGAAGAGTCATTCTCACCTTGACCCCCTGATTCCCAGATTCATGTGTTCCGAACAGAGAGAAGATGGCTTTATGTACTGCCCCGTGTTGTAAGGCAGGGCCCTATTGGAAGAGAACAAAACCTTGAAGATCCTCATCTTTTAGTTAGTGGCATAATGAGCTTCCAAAAGGCCATTTCACAATTCTGTCAGGCCACTAGCTTCTGGGTGATGCGCGCGTGGTATGACCAGTGAATGTCTTGGGTACAAGGCCATTGCTTGCAAGTATGTGCCTGACTTAGAGGCACTGTCTGGGGTTCCCTAATGACAGGAAGGGTGTCCTGGAGGTCCATGGATGCTGGTAGGAGGTGAAGCATACAAACAAGAAAAGCAAGTTCAGGCCCCCAATAGGTGTCTACCCTGTAGGGAAAAATGACTGCTTCCTCCATGAAAGAAAGATCCAGTATAATCAACTCACTAACTTGGGGCCTGCTGAGGGAGCCCCACAAATGACCTGGTAAAGAGGCTCAGCACCACCTGCCGTTGGCAAGCAGGATGCTCAGCAGTGATGGTGGCCCAATCAGCTGGGTGTTAGTGAGCCCGAGATTTACACCTGTCGGTAGCCTCCACCCCCACCCCCCATGAACTACTTTGTACAGGGAGAATTTTGCATTTTGGCTGTTTGGCTGGCAAAAGAGGCCAACCGATG